AGTGATTGTATCCCAATAAAATTTTATTTAGAAAAATAAATGACAGTCCAAATTAGGTCCATGGGTCAAAATTTATGACATTGGAAGATGTATATTTCAGCTACTTCTATAATGAATCTGGTGTTTTTATTTTATATGTACATGCAGAAGAAAAGCAAAGCTATCTTAGACTTTAAGCTTGGGAATATTTTTTCTTCACTGACAAGAGAATTGCTACATTGTGATAACATTACTGAGGTAGGTCACTGTGAGTTAATTGTGGCAATGTTCCTGGAAAAATTCAAATTCCTGCAACAAAATTAGTTGGAACTTTAAATAAAGGTGCAATTCTCATGCATTGGTCTACATAGTGAGTTCCAGGACAGCTGGGGCTACAGAGAGACACTGTCTCAAAAAGATTTAAAAAACAAAGTGCAATTCTCCAGAGATAATAGTTTAGGAAATACAGTTCTTATAATAAGCAAAGTCAGAGATTTAAAAGAACAATATTAGACTGAAAACCACTTATCACAGAAAATCTGGATTTAAAGTCAAAAGAAACCACAAAACATAGAACTAAACGTATAAACCCTATTTCTTTTGCTCTTTGTTCCCATTGCATTTTTTATTTTGTTGTATTTTATTGCTTAGTTTTTGTTTTGAGACAGGATCTCACTTCATAGCACTAGCCAGCCTCCAATTCATGATCCAACTACCTCATACTCCCAGTTATGTACCAGCCCCCCAACACACACACACACACACACACACACACACACACACATCCACTACATTTTAAATATTTTATTAATTAATTTTATTTTATGTGTATGAGTGTATTGCCTGCATGTATGTAAGTTCACCCGTGTCATGCAATGTCCACAGTGGTCAAAAGAGGATATCGGATCCCCTGGAACTGGAGTTACAAATGGTTGTTGGCCACCATGTGGGTGCTGGGAATTGAACCCGGGTCCTCTGCAAGAACAGTCAGTGCTTTAAACCATGAGCCATCTCTCCAGCCTCCACTACATTATTTTTTAAGAATATTTTTATTATTCCAAGGAGAGGCAATTTTTAAAACATTTTTCTAGAAATAACTTGAAGCAGGTTACATAAAAATATGTACACAATAAAGTTTAAGGGTGGAAAAGTAGGGATAGGAAACCAAAGACTAAAGCTAGGCATGGTGACACATGTCCTCAATCCCAGCACCTGGGAGGCAGTACCCAGCGGATTCTTGTGAGCTCAAGGCCAACCCACTCCACCCAGCAAGCTCCAAGTCAGCTGGAATCACAGAGAGACCCTGTCCCAAAAAGACCAAAAAAAAAATAAAATAAATCAAAGACCAAAGGATTTGCCAACATGAGGTCAACTTTAGTGGAATAATTAAGGGTTCCGGTTAGCTCTGTTCTCTCTTTCTCTCTCTCTCTCTCTCTCTCTCTCTCTCTCTTGAAAATCCTGTGACTTCCTAACAGCTTCACAAAATGGTGAAAGAGGTGCCTCCTGGTGTTCTCGGCTTCTTTATGTCCTTTGCCCCTCCCCTACATGTGGCTAAGGTCAACCAATTGGGTGGGAGGGGTCAACAGCTTCACAAAATGGTGAGAGAGGTGCCTCCTGGTGTTCTCGGCTTCTATATGTCCTTTGCCCCTCCCCTACATGTGGCTAAGGTCAACCAATTGGGTGGGAGGGGTAACTGACTCCCCCCTCACTCCTTGATGAGTGTGGGAAGGAGGTGTGACTATAGTTTGCCAGCATGGTGATTGGGGGGCACTTCCAGCTAACACTCCACCCCTTCCTCTGGCTCTTACATTTTTTTCCACCAATCCTCTTCTGCAAAAGTCACTGAGCCTTGGAGGGGGTGGTAGATGTGGAATGATCTTCTTCCCATTGGGGCAAGGCACTGAACTTTTGGGTCTCCACATCATCTCTTTTCCATGGGCTGTTGGCCCATTTCAGTGGGATTCCATCTACTATGAAAACAAAAGAGCAAGAAGCAAGAACATCTAAACAGAGGCTGCTATAATAACTTAGCCTATGGACATAAACACAAATGCTTGGATGGTACTTTAGCAGGTGCATCACATTCACATCCATCTAACAAAGCAATTGCAGTGACTTCCCACTGGGGCCTGTATCCTCCCCTGCTGCAGGGGGTTGGCTTGGTCTACAGTACCAGATCACCACATAATTTTTAGTTTAGGCACTCATTATTATTTTTCTGGAGAGGTAAATAATTTAGTTCTGTTCTTCAATTTTCTACCAACAGTATTCTTTCTATAGCTTTCTTATTAATAGAACTAATATTATCATAATGTATGACTTATGGTTTTTGGGTTTTTTAAAAATTTTATTGAGCTTTTGCACATTTCATACAACAGTTATTAATCAAATTTAGACCCCCCTCCCCCAACTATACCCCCTCCCACTGAACCTCATGCAGTCTACCATACATTTTAAGCTCTATCTAGTCAAGCATTTGTAGCTAGATGTCTTCAGTGAGAATTCATCCACTGGAGTCTAGTCAGCCTGTCTAGAGAAGGTCTGTCTCCCTCACCCAGTAGTAATCAGTCTCCAACCTCTATTTTTTAATCTTTGTAAATATATAATAGAAATTGGACATTTTAAGCTAATAATAATTCCCTCCCACCATTAGGAGGGGATTAATATATTGGCAGTCATGGTTGGTCTCTCTAGAAGATAGACATATGATAGATTAGATAGATAGATGATAGATTAGATAGATAGATGATAGATAGATTAGATGATAGATAGATGATAGAGAGATAGAGAGACAGAGAGATGATAGATAGATAGATGATAGATAGATAGATGATAGATAAGATAGATGATAGATAAGAGAGATGATATAAAGATAGATAGGTAATAGATGATGATGATTAGATAGATGATAGATGATAGGTAGATGATAGAAGACAGATAGATGATAGATAGATAGATAGATAGATAGATAGATAGATAGATAGATTAGATAGATAGATAGATAGATAGATAGATAGATAGATAGATGATAGATGATAATCCAAGACTGAGCCTCATTTACATCTTTGGTTTGTTTTACATTTTTATTTTTTATTTTTATTTTACGTGTATTGCCTACATATAGGTAGGCGTACCTGTGTGGTGCAAGGCCTGTGAACATCAAAAGAAGGCATCACACCCCCTGGAACTGGAGTTACAGACAGCTGTTGGCCACCATGTGGGTGCTGGGAATCAAACCTGGGTCCTCTTAAAGAACAGCCAGTGCTCTTAACTACTGAGCCATCTTTCCAGCCCTCATTTACACCTTTGTGGATGGGGATAGAAATGCCAACCTCAGATCTGCTTTAATATTTGAATAATATTTTTAAAGCACTGAGAAATTTTTCAATGCATGTCAATTAGACCCTTTTCCCCAATACAATCTGAGTTATTATTCTTTTTAGTAAAAAGTAAAAGAATTATTTGCTCTACTGAGTGCTGAGGCAGAGTGTAGGGATAAATAAAATGGTGACTGCAATCAAAAGTCACTGGTGGGTGAAAGGCACTGATGCTGAATTTCATATCATTATACCCCAAAGGTAGAGAAATATTGGACTACCTGAGTTCAAAAAGTAGACCAATCATAAAATAGCTAATGATAGCACGTATTTGGAAGTAATTTCACATGTTATTATTAAATGGATGGTACACAGTACAGGCCACACTAATCTAAATGGTCCATGCCACCATACTTCCAAAACAGTTCTTGGGGCCTTTGATATGGTCAGTCATAGGGCTATTTTGTCTTTAAAATTCATGCCATGATATTAACATATTTTACTCAAAGGAGCATCAAGGCAAATCAACCCATGCAGTGCTTTAAATAAGCCACTGCCAGGACCCAACAAGACCAGTCAATGTCTGGTTCTCACCTGTGGCCCAGAATCTATCACAAAACTTGCCCTGTCAGTTTTATAATTGTATCCTAGGCTCATTTGCACACACACCGCATCATGTTTCAGATTGAATCTATGCCATAGGAACAGTGAAGACCCAGACTAGAAAACAAGATAACAGATGAATTCAATGTTTACAGTAACTTAATCTGTAACTAACTTAGAAATATCATGCCACCATTATATCAGAAAAACTAGAAACATCAACACAAACTGAAGCAAGTAATTGCTGTAGAATTTTTAGAAGATGCTGACATTGGTGCTGCCACTTTGCAGTAGCATGAAGAAATTGTGCATTTGTGAGTATCTGGTGCTGTTTGAGTAAGGATCATAATATGGTATATGATGAGATCTTTTCAGGTCTAAGAGGGAGCATGTTTTTATGGAATTGTGTAATAATCTCCAGTTGTATCTAAATTCCTTAATCTCCAGCCATAGTTCAAATCCAAACCACCAGTTATCTAGTCTTATACCTGTACTACATTCAAATACACACACACACACACACGCACACATACACAAACAATAAATAAAATGTAATAAAATTACACACACACACACACACACACACCTGGACTTCTCAGGTCTGCTTTGCAAGAATGTATCATTCCCCTCAACAAGTAGCTGAATCATCATCTCCTAATCCCAGTCTGTTGATATTCTCTCTCTCTCTCTCTCTCTCTCTCTCTCTCTCTCTCTCTCTAACAAAGAGAGGAAAGTCAATCAACCCAATATTGGATACTATATTTTACATTCTTATTAGCAAGTATAATTAATAGCAAATAGTTGTTAAATTAATGTTATATGCACGTTTTTCCCTAGAGACTGAAGGAACAGAAGACGCGAGTATTGGATAGTTTTAAATTTGGAAATTTTATGCATGGTTTTATATAAATATGAAGCAAATGGTTTTAATGTGAAAGTGCCTCCTATTCTCTCTCTAGGTCTCATTGGCTGGATTATGGAATTAAAGAATCGATCGTCTGTTTCTGCAAGAAATACACATCATGCTATTTTGAAAGAAGTTGAGGTCTCTCACTGGAAGCAAGAAAGTTCTTTCAAGAAATGTATCTGTGATCCGTTAGCACTAATATGCTTCATACCAACAAGACACAGTTCCATCCCTCCTCCTTCTTCCTGATAGGGATCCCGGGTCTGGAAGATGTGCACCTCTGGATCGGTTTCCCCTTCTTTGCAGTGTATCTAATTGCTATCCTGGGAAACATCATTATCTTATTTGTGATCCAAACTGAACACAGCCTCCACCAACCTATGTTCTACTTCCTTGCCATGTTGGCTTGCACTGATTTGGGCTTATCCACAGCCACAATTCCGAAGATGCTGGGCATTTTCTGGTTCAATCTCAGGGAGATTGTGTTTGGGGCCTGCATCACACAGATGTACACCATCCATATATGCACTGGCCTGGAGTCTGTGGTGCTGACAGTCATGGCCATAGATCGCTATATTGCCATCTGCAAACCCCTGAGGTATAGCATGATCCTCACCAACAAGGTGATAGTCATTCTGGGTGTGTTCATCGTAATCAGGACGTTGGTGTTTGTGACCCCTTTCATATTTCTTATCCTGAGATTGCCTTTCTGTGGTGTCCGGATTGTCCCCCATACTTACTGTGAACATATGGGTTTGGCAAAGTTATCTTGTGCCAATATCAGGGTCAATGTCATTTATGGATTAATTGCTTTCTCAGTGGGATACATTGACCTTTCTGTGATTGGATTTTCCTATGTTCGGATTCTCCAAGCAGTTTTCCGCCTCCCTTCCTGGAATTCTCGGCTCAAGGCACTCAGCACCTGTGGCTCCCACGTCTGTGTCATGTTGGCCTTCTACCTGCCTGCCCTCTTCTCCTTCATGACACACCGCTTTGGTCACAGCATTCCTCATTATATCCACATAATTTTGGCCAACCTGTATGTGGTAATTCCCCCTGCCCTGAACCCTGTCATCTACGGGGTCAGGACAAAACAGATAAGAGAGCGAGTACTAAGGATGCTTAACCCTAAAAGCCATTGAGACTTAGCTCCAAGAAGCTCCTCTCTGATAGTCCAGTAAGACAATGATGACATCGATCCAGAAATAAGCACTAGGAACATTTTTTTTTGTTCAACTTCCACAACAGATCAATAAGACAGTAAGCAATTAGAACAAAAGTAAATACTAGAAACACTTGTTCAATGCCCCCTTGCTGTCCCTCACATACCATTATCTGTCCCTCCATACACATAATTTCAGCGCACACCATTAGAAAGGTTGGCACAAAAATTCCAAGTACCATCTCTACTCTAACCCATAACAGGTACAAAAAACCCACATACTTAAGCATGGACAGTGCAAAATTTCTAGAGGGAGAAAAGAGGTTTTCAAAAAGCTTGTGCCCAGTAACTCCCTTTAGTGACTTCCTCCCCTGTAGAGATGCAGTCCATTCTCATGTCAGAAGCGCAAAACGATGTGAATTTCATGAAAACCAACAGGATATAGAGGCAAGAGAAATTAACTACATGTCATAAAATTTTCATTTAAATTTAAGCCTTTTCTGAAAGTTTGACTTGAAAGTTACAATAAAAACTTTTTTTAGGCAAGTATATAATGATTTAAGCCTGAATCCCAGCACTTGGGAAGCTGAGGCAGCAGGATGGCCACAAATATGTGGTCGTTTTGGGGATACATAGTGAGTTCCAGGCCAGTCTGAAATGAGACCCTGTAATGAAATAAAAAGAAAAACTTTGAGCTTTAATTATTCCCACCCATTGAAATGATACAAAGCAAAATTAATTTGATTCTGTGAACTAAAAAAAAATTCATCAAAATATTTGCAGTTTATAAAACATTAAAATGTTTGGACAATAAGTACATGCTTAGTTTAGCATGTCTGTTTCTTCTGATGTGTGGAGACTTACCTTGTTAAATCCAGCTCTTATTCAAAGTCGCAGGTTTGAAATGACATCACTACTTGCAGATTACCTCAATATGTGGGGTTCTGTGTGGACCACCCCCCCCCAGTCATTGTCTCCTGCAAAAAGACTCTTAGGAGTCTATAAAGCCTGGGGAGATTATATAAAGGACTCTGTCTGTGCCTGAAAACCCAAGAAATCCTCAAGTCCTTAGTTCTTCTTAAAGTGAGCTTTACTTTAGAGATTGAATTTGTGACCTCTGAAACAGCACACAGCCCTTTTTACTAGCGTGTAGAAGTTAAGCAAAGCCATTGATTTCCTTGGGTCATTTTGGAGCTGCAAACACATAAAACTGATTTATAACTGGACATAGGATCCTGGTTGAAACTCAAAGCAGGGTCAGTGTGAATCTAGAGAACAGGAGTTAAGGTGATGGTGATGGAAACAGAGGAGAAAACGGTTTGAGGGCATCACACATTGGATAAACCTATAAAGAAAAAATTGCCAAGTGATCATTTTGTAAATATGACAGAAATCTTGAAAGTGATAGAAAAGAGTGATATGACAACTGAATAGATCAACTGAATAGTGGATGGATGCTACTGTGGCTTGATGCCCATGCAAAGTGCTAGGCCAAGATAGCTTTTCATAAACCTCCTGTACTAATAAACTTTAATTGTTCTGCAGAATTAAAACATTAAAACCCTTCACACTCAATTTGGAAAATTTACACTATCCTGATTGCAAAATGTACAGTATGGAAGAAAGAAAATACAAAAGATATATAGTCAGGCTAATCTACAAACACATGTAAATGCAACTTATAAATAAATTTGCTAATACATTTTTAATTTAGTTCCTTTTTTGTTATTTTTATCTCATAATTGTACATATATATGAAGCACAGTGTAATGTTTCAATAAAAAATATAGTATGTAATAACAAAAACGCAACTGGTATACCCGTGATTCCAAACATTTATCATATTTTTATGTGTTAGGAATATTCAAAATTATCTATTTTGAAATATGTAATTAAATATTGTCATAGTTGCCCTACCATGCTAGAAAATATTACAAGATAGTCTTTCAACCCAACTTGTGTAGCCTCCACTTTTGTCCCTTAGGGACAAATGACATTCAGCATACTAAGGGTTAACAAACTTCCTTAGACTCAGAGTACACAAAAGAATGCCTACACTTAATCCCTTCTGGAACACTGGGAAGATGGCTGCTCCTGAACCCAGAACACTGGGAACAGGCTGGAGAGACAGCACAGCTATCATAAGCTAAGGCTAACAACTCTTGCTTTGTGCAAGTATGCTTCCACACATATTCTAAAGAAGTCTGCTGTGCACGCTTAGCTTTGAGCTAGTCTAGCGGCCTCCAGACTATAACGGTAAGGAAATTCCTGTGTATTTTGAACTGTATAAGCATTAATCACATGTGAGCTTTGTATGAATTCTTTGTACTGAGCTATCCTAATAAAAGCCTTTCAGGAAGCCATAATCGGCACTCCTGAGCATAGCCTGGAGTTCCCTGTTCTTCTCAGGTCGAGTCTCAGCTTCAGTTCCTTGGTGCCAGTTACTTTGTGGCATCCACAAACTTGACCTCTGTACCTTAAGTCTTTGCTCTCCTTCCCCTGAGTTCCATATTTTCAAGCTTCTGATAACACTATTATGCTAACTACTTCAACTACATAAACTTTTATATATTCCACATAAAAGTAAGAACATGTGGTATTTGTCTTTTTTGTGCCTGATTTCTTTCATTTCATTGAATATCCTCTAGTTCCATATATGTTGCAAATGATAGGATTCTATCTTTTTTATGGATGAATAGTATTTCATTGTGAATATGTGTCCCATTTGTTTAAGCAAGACAAGAATACAAAACAATCTAAAGAGATTCTTGTATCTTATCAGGGCATATGAATAAAAGTAGAAATTAACAGCAAGCAAATCACAGACCTACACAAATACCTAGAGCATAAACAACACACTGCTGAGTGAACAGTGGTTCATTGAAGAAATCAGGGAAGAAATGTTAAGATCCCTAGGCGGTAGTTTGAATGAGAATGCTCCCCATAGGCTCCAAGTATTTGGACATTTTGTCCCCCATTGGTGGTGATGTTTTGGGAGGTCTTAGAAAATGTGGCCTTGCTGGAGGAAACATGTCACTGGGGGCAAAATTTGAGGGTTCTCAAGTCTTGTCAGATTTCCAGTCGCCCTCTGCTTCATATGCTTACTTGAAAGTGAGCTTTCTGCTCTGGCCACTTCCTGCCACCATCCCTCCCTGCCATGATGGACTCTAATCCCTCTGGAACCTGGAAACATATGCTGAAATAAACTCTTCTATCTATGAGTTCCCTTGGTTACAGTGTTTTATCACAGCAATAGAGAAGTAACTAACACAGCCTACAATCAATGAAATTGAAGATAAAACTATCCAGAATCTTTGTGCTACAGCTAAAACAGTTATAAAAGGAAAATTTATAGCTATGAGAGATTACATAAAAAATTAGAGGCATTCCACATAAGCAATCAAATAGGGCACCTCAAGATCTTAGAAAAACAATGGGCTGGAGAGATGATTCAACAGTTAAGAAAAATAACTGCTCTTGCAGAGGACTCAGGTTCAGTTGCCAGGACCCACAAGGTGGCTAATAACTGTCAGTCCTCAGGGGACCTGATGCACTCTTCTGACCTCAATAGGCATTGCATGAACATGATACACTTGCATACATGCGGGCACAATGTTCACACACATAAAATACAAATAATAAATAAATAAGATCTTACAGAAATAAGAACAAACCAAACCTCAAGAGAGTAGATGCTAAGAAATAAGAAAGATTGGGGAATAAATCAATAAAATTTAAATTAAAACAATACATAAAATCAATCAAACAAAAAGATGGTTCTTTGAAAATATAAACAAATTTGACAAACCACTTGTCAATTTAGCCAAAAGAAAGACAGAGAGGACCTAAATTAATGAAATTTAGACAATAGGGAACAATTTGAAAATTTGTATTTCAAACCAGAAAATCTAGAATAAATAGCTAAATTCTTAGACATATATGATCTACAAAAATTAAATCAAGAGAAAATATACAACTTAAGAATATCCATAATAACCAATGAGATTGAAGCAGTAATCGTCTTCTAAAAAGAAATGCCCAGGGGATACCAGATTCACAAAACTGAATGCTACCAATTCTTTAAAGAACTGACAACAATGCTTCTGAAACTGTTCCACAGAAAAGGACTGGAAGGCACATCACCGAACTCATTCTATGAAGCTAGAGCAATTATCCTTGTTCCAAAACAGAATAAGGAGACAAAATTAGAGCATTACAGAATTTCTATGATAAATGTAGATGCAAAATTTATCAATACAATACTTAGAAATGGAATTCAATGAAACATTAAAAATATGTTATGTACATAATTTCAGTCATTCAAACATACATATAAAATATAATACTAAATACATCTTTAAAAACAAAGAATATAGTACGGCTGAAGACGCCATAACAAGAAACAGCGCCAGACAGGAGAAATCTTCCTTTGAGTTGTTGTCCAGAGCAGTCCAAGAGGCTCCAAAAAATCACATAGGGTATTGATATAGTCCCTGATTACTTCCTAGAACTTGATAATAAGACCCTATTGCAGAAGACAGGACATACTTTGAACACAGGATTTGGAGCAACAGACCTAGAACTGACCTGGAAGCCATCTCCCCTCAATGCTAGCTCTCATAGATTTGAAGAGCACTACACAAGCTACTAAGGAACAACATCAATCAGTGGTCCAACCCCAGCTTCAAGGCCTAAAAACCACATCAATAACCAGAATAGCAAATGACATTGGTGCAATAGTGGCACTTTTATCTTGGGAGTAATCAACAGCCACTTAATTGGATTTAAAGCCCATTCAATGGGAGGAAACTCATATGTGGTACTGTAAACTTAGCCAAATACACATAGTTAGAGAGGTCATAGATCAGAGAAAACTCCAAGGTGATCACATCCCTAGACAAGTATAATTTCTTTGTATGTGCAAAATATGGATCCTTATATTTATAGGCATGTATCCCAGGAACCACCTATCAAAGAAGC